CGCTTAGTTTAAAACTGAACGCGTAACCAACGTCCAGCGGTTGGGTTAGTAGAGAACAACAAAAAATAATATTATGGCAAGCAGTTGTAAGAAGGTAAAGACATACCACTTTCATTCGGAATGGGAAGAACAATACTTTTTTACAAAAGTTAAAGATAAAAATGTGTGTTTGTTGTGTAATACTTCAAGGAAATATTGAGAGACATCATAAAACTGTACATTCTAATTTTGAAAAATCATTCCCACTGCATTCTGCCTCCAGAAAGGAGAAACTGAAACAGTTAAAAAAGCAGTTAATTGGACAACAATCAATATTTTTAAGAACAGTCGACAAAAATAAGGCTGCAACTGAAGCATCGTACCGTGTGTCCCAGATAATTGCACAAAAAAAGAAACCTTATGAAGACGGGGAAATGATAAAACAGGCGTTTTTAGAAGCTGCTGATTCGTTATTTGCCAACTTTAGAAATAAAGACAAGATAGTTTCAGCTATAAAATCTATGCAACTGTCTGCTAATACAGTAATGAGACGTGTAGAAGTAATGAGAAATGATATTTTTTCACAGTTAAGAACTGACTTAGATAACTGTGTTTATTTTTCACTTCAACTGGATGAATCAACAGATGTCGTTGACACTGCCCAGATGGCCGTGTTCGTCAGGATGGTTTTTAGTGATTTTACGATTAAAGAAGATCTTTTAAAGTTTATTCCACTGAAAGGACACACTACTGGACAGGAGTTGTTTTCTCATTTAAAAAATATATTATTTCTTCCGAGAAAATTCCAATATCGAAAATGGTAGGCTTGACAACCGATGGCGCTCCAGCTATGGTGGGTTGTGATAAGGGTCTGGTGGCGTTATGTCGTAAAGATGAAACTTTTCCGCAATTTCTCTGTTACCACTGTATTATCTATCAGCAAGCATTATGTGGAAATTTCCTGAAACTAAACAACGTTATGAAACTGGTGGTAAAAATTGTGAACAATATTAGAGCTCAAGCGTTACAAAGAAGATTATTCAAAACTTTGGCCGATGAAGTTGACTGTCAATACGGGGACCTACTCCTTCACTCTGAAGTCCGATGGTTAAGTAGAGAAACGTTTTAATGATGTCCTATCAGGCATAGTTCAGTTTTTCAAACAACGCGATGAACCGACTCCGGAACTAAAAGGACACCTAAGTAAACTGAGAGTAGTAGAGGATAGTGAGTGCAGATTCTATGAGGAGGAGGACGAAACCTCCATTCACATCCTAACTGAATGTGTAGCACTCCAGAATCCAAGGGCACTATATCTAGGAGGATATCAAATAGAAGTGGGAGACTTACCTAACTTGAAGCCACTTCAAATCCTACACTTCCTTGAGAAAATAGGATTGGAAGGGTCGCTATAGGCATTGAGACATTTCCTTAGTGCAGTGGCGACAGAAGGGGGCACAATAGATATTTTAGGTCGCAGTGTATTAACACCCCATTATCAACATAACATCACTCATTTTGTTTACCAATTTTTTTCACTACGGCAGTACAAAGTCACACGATCGAAACGAACGGCTAGAACGACAAGCATAGACTGGCAAATGAATCTGTATTGTAACTATAAATATATTATCAAAAATCGGTCATCTCCTGGAGGTAGCCGTTTCTTGCCCCGAAATTTCTCTCAGTCAACTCCTTAACGTATATATTTCAGTTACTATAGGTTGGATTTGACTGATTCTTGTACCAATAGATGCGTAATTAGCGAGGTTATGCATTAAAGCCAAAAACTAAAATTCGGCACAAAATGGAGTTGATCGGTTTTTGCACCGAGCCCTTCAATTGCAAATAAACTACAGAATATGTTTACTTGTTACTTCTGCAGTTTGAAGTTTGATATCATCTAAAGTAACTTTTTTGTTGCGTCAAAATATTTAAAAACATTGTATTCACGACTTTGTCCGTTAATAACAGATCTGCGTTTTTTTTTTTCACCCACAATAGAAGACATTATCAAAAATAAAACCAGTCACTTTAACCAAAAGATAGAAACAAGAAACAAATAATGATCTAGTCGTTACGCTACTGACCGTAAGCAAAGACAAGGTTCAAATTGTGAACGGGGGGTGGCGATTTTTAAGTAAACGAACTTGAGCATTTGCCTTGGTTCTTTAGATTTGGCGTTTACTGTACCTCTGTATTTTTGGTTTTTCGTACAACATTTTTTTAATTAAATATTTCAAAAATAAGACCATCCTTTTAAAATCACTATTCGAACTGAGTAGGTATACTATTTAATACGTTCAATTTAACCAATTCTAGTAGGAGGCATTTAGGATATTTTAAAGTAGGTACTCATAAAGTACCTAATTCACAATGAGTAGCTTTACAAAGTATCTGAGTATAAGTACTTATGTAAATAATATTCGAAACAAAAGTACTTTGGTAAATTTTAGAGAGTAATCGTGAATAAATCGAGTAATCAGTTTAAGTATTTTAAAGAATTTTAGCTAGTGACTCAAGTTTAGAAAGAAGGAATTATAGTAATTAGGTAATAGTTAGTCAGGAATTAACAAATATAAACGAGAGAATCACTTATCTTCTATCAATTAGTTAGCACTTATCATTATCGTGTTCGCCCAACTTTTACATTTAATGTTAAAGTAATAAAGGTAAAGGCAGAGATACAGCTAAAAAAAATACTCAAAAGAGCAATACATGATCGAATATATACATGCGTATATTATCATGGTTCTGTCATTTGACATATTTATGTTTTACGTCCTGTATCGTTGAAGTCGTTAATTTATTCGGAATTGCTTTAGGGTTGTGACTCCGATGGTAGTGAGATTTATAAAATTAATGAAATTGTCAGTTATATTTTGGGAAGATTGTCAGTATTTCTGAACCATTATAATATACTATGTGAGCGCGTTGGAACTCGTACTCATTAGCTGTAGGAATCTGAAGTACTGAGCAGTGGCGGCTCGGACCAAAATATTGGGGGGTTCACAATGACAAAATATGGATTTCAGTACATATTTAGGTAAAATACTTTCAGTGTTTATAATACGAGGATGAGATGAAAAGTTTCCGGCCTAACATAGAACGCAACACAATAGTGACTGAATAAGAATTTATTTTTCTACATAGTCCCCTTGTAGGGTAATACATTTGATCCAACGATGTTCAAGCGATTTAATACCGTCACTGTAGTCTGATTTATCCAACTCGTCAAAATAGACTGCAATTTCTAAATCCGTGGAAAAATTTTTGCCAGCAAGAAATTTTTTTAGGTTTGGAAAGAAATAAAAGTCTGACGGGGCTAGGTCTGGCGAATACGGAGGATGGTTTAACAGTTCAAAGCCTAGCTGATGAATTTTAGTCATTACAAGAACAGATTTGTGGCAAGGTGCATTTTCCTGATGAAACAGAATATTCTTTTTTGCCAGACGAGGGCGTTTTTCGTTTATATTCTGCTTAAGCTGGTCCCCAGTAAGTCGCTGTAGTACTCGGAATTTATTGTTCTTTCTTATTCGAGATAATCTATTAGGAGTATCCCTTTAGCATCCCAAAAGACCGTTGCCATGACCTTTCCAGCAGACGGTACTGCCTTTGCCTTCTTTGGAACTGGTTCGTCCTTTGTCGTCCACTGTTTGGACTGTTGTTCAGTTTCAGGGGTATAATGATAAACCCATGTTTCATCAACCGTAATAAATCTACGCAAAAATTCCCCTGGATCACGTCTAAACAATAACAAATTCTAAATTCTCTTCTGAAATGGTTAGCCGCGTGAGCTTCTGATCTGACGTGAGCAAACGCGGCACCCATCGGGCCGATATCTTTCTCATACCTAAAACTTCACACAAAATATAGTGAACTCGCTCTTTTGATATGCCCACAGCCTCAGCTAGTCAGCTACCTCTTCCAATTTTAATCTGCGATCTTTTAGAATTAGTTTGTGAAGGTTTGCACTATTTCTTCAGAAGTTGCCGGTTTTGGCCTGCCAGAACGCGGAGCGTCATCAGTGCTAGAACGACCACGTTTAAAGTCCGCTACCCATGTTTTAACTGTGGTAAATGAAGGAGCAGATTCCCCTAGTATAGCATCTAGTTCAGCCTTTGATATGGAAATATTTTATCACCGCTTTTATCTCGTTTTTTTCCATCTTTTAAAAGTGGCGCACTTTATAAGCTTTTAAAAGGCTACACAGACACGTTGGAACAAGAAAGCAAATCGGGCCTACTATAGGTTAGGCCGGAAACTTTTCATCCCATCCTCGTATACCGTCCTAAATTTGTACTTAGATCTATATTAGGGTATTGTGAACCCTCAATATTTTGTTCAAAAGCCGCCACTGGTACTGAGTACTCTAAAATGTAAAATACTCCAAAAATTTCGAGTATTTTATGAGTCAAATCGGGATAAAAGTACTCGAGTACCTCCCAGGGGTACATTGGTACCAAAATTAACATAACATAAATCATAAGCTGCCTAAATGATGTTATGCAAAATATAATACAAATTTATTATTTATACCTATTTATTTGAGTCCTCATTTAATTTATTTCAGCAAAAAATTGTTTATATCTGTATATATTGATTTATAGTTTTATTTAAATAAATCCCCATGAAATAATATCCTCCGAATATATCGTTTTAGTAAGTAATTTCAGCGAAATAGGTAAGTAAATGTTTAAGAAATTAAATAGAATATTTAACTGAAATGGTCTGTTAATTAATTAATTTTATATGCAAAATATGATTACATAAAAAAACTAAGCCAAAGATAGAAATAATAGTAAGAATACGCAAGAATATTATGTATTTTTCAAGCAGTAGTAAGTAAAATACATTTTAGGTACCTAGTCGGAAATTGCAACATAGCGCGTAAACGTATACAATCGCAATAAATACGAGGTCACGCGTGTAATAAGCATCCCATAGAGCACACCAGTTTACGACACCGTGATGTCTCTTATCAATTTCATTCAGCATTTACAGGTGGTTATTATTTTCAGCAATTTCAGGACGTAAAGCTGCTTTTTGCTCCCCGAAGAATATCGGCCGAAGGCCGCACGAGCCGGCAACGCCGCAGAGGGAATGTCAGTCTCGCTGGGCCGGGCTTTGGGAAACATCAGACAATCGAGGCCACGCCGGTGCTGCCGCTCCGCTAACTACGGCGAACCCGCCAACTAGCTTACAGCACGCCAGCTTAGCAGTGCCAGTTTGTGAACAGCAATAGGTATGGCCTCTGCTAAAGATACGGCGACGTTCTTCACCCACGGCACCTGTCAACATTTCGAGCAGGTCCTCAAGTTATATCCGCAAGCCCTTCGACTCAAAGCCGATCGGAAAGCCAAGAAACCAGAGGAACTCATCAAATTAGACAATTGGTAAGTGGATTTCGGTGAATTTAGTGTTGTGTCATTGAACCCTGTATTAATGTGTTCGCTGTCTAAGTCGTCGAGGTCGAATGAATAGCTTTAGCACCCCCGCGAGATCTTTCTCTGACGGTCATTAAAATCACGCTTGTCACGTGGTAATCGATGACAACTGCAACATGCTTTTAAATCTAAATACTTGCATTTTCGGATCACAAATTTCGCGTTGCTATGTCGGCGTCATGGCCTCGTCCTTTTTATAATGCAAATGCTTCGATTTTCACTTTAAACCCTCTCAATATTTATCAAAAACAAACATTTACATTCTGGGAACATCATATTATATTTATAAGTGAGTGATTTTGTGTTAAAACCTTTTAAAACGACCAAAATCGACTAAAACATGCTGTGTAATCTACGGGTATTTCAAAATGGTGTCTGTTCAAACAAAGCATTTCAAGTTATTCGTTACTTTAAGCATTTTCCATTGATTTAACTGCAAATTTTCAACGAAAAACTTTGATCTATTATTCAAACTGTCCTCAGATTTGTTTACTTTTTATTTATCGCGCCGTTTTCATACTTTAAATTGATTGATCTTGACCGAATCTCTAAACGAGTAGTGGGGATTTCTATTAACATCGTTAACTGGCTTTTATTTATTTTTATCCACTTTGAACGATATTTTTGTTAAAATAGGTTGGCTTACGATGTTTTTGTACGCGTTGATTGTATTTTAAGGGTTTCGTTAATGGTATTTGCTGTTAAAAACCAGCTGCCAGTAGTGGAAAAAACCAGATTGTCATTTTGATATTTCACAACATATAGACCGTCTGTAGGGGAGTAATTATATATCATTTTCGATTGATTTATGCTATTTTTTCAATTAGAAGCTATTAATTAGTACTTTAACTACCCTTTTAATTTGTCTATTAATAATTCTGTTTAAAAATTTGCTTCGTAATGTCTTCATAATCGATCAATACTTGCAGTTAAAATATATTTTCTATTTTTTGATATTTTTCGATTACCTTACAATTTTCTGTTTTGTTTTCGAATAGGATGTTTTGGAAATGTCGTTTTTTGTATTTATTTTGAAGTAAATAACTACTCGGATAATTAATTGAGCTTTAAATAATATAGATAAAGATTTTGTAATTGTTTTTTATAGCATAGATTATAAACAGAATTGCGGTTTTTGATAAGATGAAATAAAATTTCTGGATAGGAGAATTGGTTAATGAAAAATGTGGTTTAATTTGGCTAAAGATTGACGTCTTATTTTAATTATTAAATGTAGGTACAATAGGGTAGGTATATCTAATAATTTTGAATTAGGTAATCAATGATTGAATAATTTATATTACCTACTATTAAAAATATTTCTTAGGAATTATTTCTTAATTTTAACTGAAAATTAAACCATACTCTTAATTATAGGTAGGCCTGAAATATCTAGAAATATATTGTTTTTGATTTGTTCATTAATACTGAAAAAAAGTTGGGAAATATTTGCAAATAGGCATAGGTAAATATTTTTATACGTGTCATTCATACCTACGTATTTATTTGTTTATTGTCTTCTTTCAAATAGGTATAATTATTATATTTTCTTCTGCTATTAAAAAAAAATCCCTATTATCATTCATCTTTTATTTGTTGAAATAATAATATAGATGCATTATATTGCATTTTTTCACCAATATTTTATTAACAACCTGTTATTTGTAATCCTTAAATCATATAACCCCGCATTTTCCTTCTGTTACGCCTGACGTACCGCAATAAACGGTTCTGGGTCCCTTAACTTACTTTACTTATGTATATGTTGTTATACAAAATTCACAAAAAGTTTTGCATACTACAGAAACCTTAAGATGATTCAACACCCCTTATAATTTTTGGACAAGCATACCTATCTCAAAAAGTAATTTTTTAAAAAAATTAAAATATTGGGAAAATTAGGCATTAATATCTAGAATATGTAAGTATATATTTTTAAGTTTTAATTTCTTCCAGTTTCCAAGAAAAAAAAAATTAAAGGGCTTTAAATTTCGAAATATAATGAAAATGAATTCCTTAACGGCACTATTCTTAATATAATCCCCAAATTTGAGCTTTTAATGTCTTGTTAATGATTTTTTAAAATACGCCGAAACGCCTCGTTGAGTGCTATCTTCTGGTGAAAACTGGTGTAAATCGTTCCAAGAAGCGAATAGATGACTGAGAGTGTACGATACGATAGTTACAGACGCGTTACACCAGAAAGCAGCACTTAACGAGGCGTTTTGGCCGCTAATTTTGGGGAATTTTAAAACATCATTAATAAGATATTAAGAGCTCAAATTTCGGGATTATATTAAGAATAGTGCTGTTGAGGAATTTAAAGCTCTTTGATTTTTTTTTTCTTGGAAACTGAAAGGAATTAAAACTTAAAATATATGTATTTATATTCTAGATATTATTGCCTAATTTATATTCCCAAAATTTTAATTTTTTTAAAAAATTACTTTTTGAGATATGCTTGTCCGAAAATTATAAGGGGTGCTGTAATCACCTTAATAAAAATACTTGGAAAATTTTTTTTTAGACCATTTTAGACCCTCTGAAACACATTTCAAAATAGTTTTTTTTTGCCCTGCAAACGTTTTAAAATATTTTTTCTCACCTCAAAACTTTCAAAAGTGTGAAAAAATTTGAACTACCTCATTTTGATTAATTTCTTGTAATAGAAACTGCTAAATAATAATATTAGATCATCCATAAAGCAATAAATCATTTCACAATTTTTCTTTGACAGAGTATTCTTCGGCGTAATTACATAAAATAAAAATTAAACAAATATTAAGGGGGGGGGGGTAGCCGGGACTAATTCCCGGGCTCAAGTGGGGTCCCGACAGCTTTAGGTGAGGACGGTTTTATATTTTTAGAAGTTCGCCACAAGAGCACACAAGGCCTTTTTGCACTCCTAGAAGTTTTTGGCTTGAGGAATAATTTTTTTTAGAGAATACACAAATTTTAACTAATTTATCTAACCTGTGCGGCCTGGAGTTATCACGAATTGTTTTGCGAAAAAATTATACATAAAATGAGAACAAAACAATTTTCAAACTAAGATTTTTCGAAAAATAGTGTTTTCGAACTAGACTTCTTATTTCACGAATTGTTTTGCGAAAAAATTATACATAAAATGAGAACAAAACAATTTACAAACTAAGATTTTTCGAAAAATAGTGTTTTCGAACTAGACTTCTTATTCGAAAAAAACACCGTGAGCCTTTTCCAAACAGCCAACTTTCATTAACCGAACTATTTCCTGTTGTATATGTTTTCTTACTCGATTTGGCAACACCGCATTTATAGAAACTAGAAACGTCAATTGTCATTGTCAAATGAAAAATAAGAAAATTTAATCGTTTATGAAAAAATTTGGTATGGTTTATTGCTCTATGAATTGACTAATATTGATATTTACCCGTTTCTACAACAAGAAATCACTGAAAATAGATTATTTCAAATTTGTTTATGGTGGAGATCTAATAACAAATTTTAAGAATTTTAAGGACCCAAAATTGTTATGTATTCGCGAATCAAACTAAGTAAAATACGCCCTCTGGAGGAAATTTGTAGAAGTATAAGTAGGATATCGTTGCCAGAAGTAGCGAAATTTCGCTACATTTATTTAAAGATTTTTCTATAAGACCGATTATTTTTAAATTTCAGTTCATTTATTAATTTTGTTTTAAAATCAGTTCATCATTTGGCAACATTGGCATTCGTTCGTGTTCATTGTTTATATTTTAATTTGTATCAATTATAATTCGAGTTTTTTTCTTACTTTTTAGCTTTAAATTTGTTTATTTCTTATAATATGTGATAGTGTTTATATTAAAAATGAAATTTGCGAAAAAGCCCCCAACAAATTGCTATCTATATGGTGTTAATGTCAAAATTAAAACTGAAGTATTAATTATTTTCCAAGCGAAAGTCGTAAAATTTTGTTTCTTACGATAAATGGATATCTACAAATTCACAATATTGAAATTTTGCAAAAATTTGTTTAGAATCAAACTGTAATCTGTTTTATTACCATTTACATGTATACAAGGTACTGCACAATTCACTTCATAATATAAGAATAAGGATAGTAAGAGTTTAAATAAGTTCATCAATAATAAACGTTTGGTACCTGAAATGTCCTTTAAACCACATAATAAAACATGTCCTGGTTTTGGTAAATACATATTTCTAGATGTTCTTGTTGCAACCAATAGGTGAATGTTTCCAACAAATTAAGTTACAGAACACAAGATTTCGAGGCATTTAGTTTTAAATTATGTTGGAAAGAAAGTTCATAAATAAGTTAAAGATCTTCATTAATAAGTTGATTAGCAGTTAAGGAATGATTGTTTTTAAAACTGTAATATAATTGTGTATTGGCAGCGTAGGCTTGGACTTTACAATTTTTTATGGATTTAATAATGCAAGAAGTATAAATTAAGAAAAGGAGCGGTCCCAGGACGCTGCCTTGGGAAACACCAGATAAATGTTCATATAATTCGAAAATTGTAACATACACGTTGAGACCTATTGCTTAAATATGATTTTATCAATGCAACTGCTGAATAATAAAAACCATAATATTTTAATTTTGATACACCATCAACCTGTAATCGATGGTGTCGAACGCCTTAGAAAAATCTAAAAGTGTGAGTACAGTAATGTTTCCTTTATCATAAACATCAATTATATCGCTCGTTATAGTAGTTGATGGGGTCTATTCTGTAACAATTCCTTTATATTTGACGGCCTTTAAAAATATTTTCTTCTTTACTTCTGTCATTATTTAAACGGATCTTTAAAATACATTAGAGGACTATCTTAAAGAAATCTGTTTAAATAATGACAGAAGTAAATTAACGAATACGAACATATTTTTATAGGCCTCCAATATTTTTGAAGGCCGTTAAATATAAAGGAATTGTTACAGAATAGACCTCATAGGTCTAAAA